TTTTCAGACCGATTTGTAAATTTCACTAGTATAATATCTCTTTAAGTACCATCCCAAAAGGATACAATGGAGGAATAGACTTTTTCAAGTGAATTGCTTTTTCTTATACCCACATCAATTTCATAATTTTTATGTATTAACAATTACGTTCTCATTCATAGGTTGCAGTTGAGTATTATGTACTAATAGTTGTCTTGCCATTTTACAGATGTTTTACGAGCATTAAGGACTTGAAATTCAAGTTATATTTTATGTGTTTATCAGGAAGTGAGTTTCTCTCTTTGATACGCTGTATGCGTTTCATTCATTAACTATCAATCATTTAAACATTCTCTTTATTTAAAGTCTTTACAGCAGTACTCTGAAAGTAATTTTTATCTCGTACAGGATGCATTATAGGTTATTGACCTAAAATTCCATATTTTTTTTTTGTTTTCCCCATAGGTAATCCGCATATTGTTTAATTTTAAATTATGTATTTGGTTTAAACTGGAATTCAATTGCCATATCTAAACTCATACGGTCAAGGGATGAGTAAACATCCTAAAAGCTGGCCTTGAGCATGGATAAATCCTACCTCCCCCTCCATAAAATAATAACATGAAATGGAGTAGGGTTGGGTAGCCCGCTCGCAGCACTTGCATTGACTTTTTGCTTCGAAATTGTTTTGTTAATGGTACATTTTGTTTTCATGTACTTTTTCACTTGTACTTGTACGTGTATATTGTATATTTTCTTAAAAATTGTAAATCAAAAATATTTTACTTGATCACAGCAGCATTGTTTGTCTTAGCCTGACAAATATGGCCCTACCTGTTCCTCGGACGTGATGCATGGATGGGATAGCGGCATGTCTCTGAACAGACACAATATGTCGATTTTCATGGGAATCGCTCCAATCCAATTTTAGATCGCTGTTGGCCATTACACCATGGAAAAGCCAAATTTGGCATAACTATTAGTGTTTATACAAATCTGAACCATTAATAAATCCATCAAGACATTGTAAAATATTCGGCAATGTCTCTATGTCTATTACCCCATTACTAGGGGTAAGCTTAACTTATGGAGTTTGAAGAAGAGACCTATCCCTACCCCTCAACTGTGGTATTGCTTTGGCATGTGGGAATTGTAGAATATCCGG